GTCAGATTATTTGAAAAATTGTGGAGCTAACCGAATCATTAGAAATAACTTCATTTAGTATGATTCTAATAGTATCATAACCCAGTTGCTCATGCGTGAGCTAATCTAAATCGTATAGTATTTGATCTGGATCGTAACTTGTATTCTAATTGTCAAACTGAATCGTATATAAAGCATGTCCATGAAATCGTACCGTACCGACGGTTCAACCACAAAATAACTTCAGATTATTTGAAAAATTATGGAGCAAACGAATCATTAGAAATAACTTCATTTAGTATGATTCTAATAGTATCATACCGAGTCGCTCATGCGTGAGCTAATCTAGATCGTATAGTATTTGATCTGGATCGTAACTTGTATTCTAATTTGTCAAACTGAATCGTATATAAAGCGATGGTCCATGAAAACGTACAGTATAGGAGGCTAAACAGATAGACGGTATTTAATGATAATAACGCTTGAACTACTATTAAACCACGATTTGGCCATAAAATATCATACCACTGACTTTTTTGATACGGTCCGATACTTTCATGTAACACGATATAACGTCTGATATAGAACACTTTTTTTTTAATAGGTCTGATATAGAACACACCGCACAATTTGCTAACCCTACAGCACGGGAAACACCTAACCACTAAATATTATTGCAATTGTAATTATATTCTATAATTTGAACTAAAAATCTGTATCGGATGGTATGCATACTTACACTTGTTGAATCATTTGTGGGCACTTTATCTTGCTACCTCTTTTGCGTACAGCATTAAATTTTTACAACATGACATTTATTTAAATAGTTTTCTTCTTGTCTTTTATTAATAATGGTGTTGTTACTTGTCACGCAAGAAATAGTATATCGATTATAACAAGACAGGTGAATGGGGACAATTTTATAAATTAAATACTCAAAATTTTAATCCATAATTTTATTGGTATGATATACACTTTGTTCATATCACTTTTCTTTTACGGGAAAATCCTTTTTTCTTATACAAAATGGCAGTGTTATTAAAGCCGAGCTGAGCCGCTCGGCCCGACCGATAAAACCGCCACTCGGTTACAAAATCGACTCGGAACAGTCTAAAAGTCGCTCCGATTTTAGGTAGCGGCCGCGACCGAGCCGAGCCGCTCGGCCCGACCGGTAAAACCGCCACTCGGTTACAAAATCGACTCGGAACAGTCTAAAAGTCGCTCCGATTTTAGGTAGCGGCTGGCGAGCGGCCGAGGCGGTTAACCGTTCGAGCCGATCGAGCCGCTCGTCCGGTTTTTGCCATTCAGCCACTAAATTTAATTAAAAAATTGCAAAAATTCGAAAATTGAAATAAATAAAAAACGCCGGGCTCTCAAACTGAATCTTTATTTCCATTTCACAATTTCGAAGGAAAGAGATGAGCTCTGATTAAGAAATGTCAACTATTTATACTGATGATAACGTTTATTAGGTACCGGTTCTCTAACGGTTTTTAAACGGTCTAATGTCGGTTGGACCACTAAAGTGCGAGCCGTTCGCATTACCGGGTCATGCTCCGGTTCGGTTCTGACAACATTGCAAAATGGATTTGACTGATCGTTAGGGTTTTAGGAGTAGTTTGGAGAATGGGATTTAGGGCGTGGATTTATTGAATCTGTAGATTTTGTAAAAAGTTATGTTTTTTTTTGTTGTTTTTTGTATTGTGGATTTCAGCTTTAGAAATTTCAAATCTCTAAAATCTACGGATATCAAATCTCTCATAATCAGAGAGATTCTATATCTTGATTCATGAGATTTTTTTCTCTTACATTTTCTCTTTCTTTCTTTTATTTATTTATCATATTAAATATATTTATCAACAAAGTTTGTAATATTTCTCGAGCCACTCTAATTTTTTATTACTGATAAACATGTTATTTAATATAAAATTTTTATTTTTATTTTTATTGAATGTTTACAATCACAGTTACCAAACAATAAATATTTTAAAATCTATTTTCAACAATTCGAAGATTTAGAATCTTTAAATTGTTGACAATCTATAGATTTAAAATCATATGCTCCAAACGACCCCTAATAATATTCAAAATTAAAATGATAATTTGAGTTTAACTCACTAGTTTGATTAGTTCAATCCATCTACTAAAAAATATAACTAATTAAATTATTTAATTCATATTCATTTAGATTGATATATTCATGAATTATTGGTAAATTACTTCATAATATCTCATGATTCCACCTATCATGATTCCACCTATCTATTTGATCTAATCCATCTGCTACCTCTATTCAAACTTCACTCCCATATTTTCTTTACGGGCACAATTAAATTCACTTAAACTCTAACATAAGGTCTATTTGAAATCCCCTATCCCCGATTGCTAGATGTTTATGTCGGGCATTGATCCTCTGAAAATCTTGGAGACTATAATATATATAGTGGTCAAGGACCAAGGCAAGACGTCTATTTTTTTATATGAATTGTATATGATTCATGAATAACTTACTCACAAAAATTCAAAATATTCGAACCAAATGATCTGTACATGATATCAGAACTGACTTGATCAAATGATTGTATTTTGGAATCTTTAATGCTATATACCCTAATACTAATCCATCACAATAAAAGAAATGGGTGTGGGAGTGGAATGGAAGCCTAACTTCTAACAATGAATAGTGAAAAAGCATCAATCAAACAAAATACATCTTCCAAAGGACCTACAAACATAAATAAACAATATCAAAAGAATTAAAGACAAAGAAATCCAGGGAAAAATTCTGGTGTTTTTTTTTTCAACTACCTTTCCTTTGCGTTGTCTGTCTGAAGGTGTGTGGATCATATTAATTAATTTAATCAAAGAAAGGGGAAAAGGACAAGTAGGAAATGAATGAGAGGTGGCACATAAAGGAGACACCTTTTGTTATTTTACTACACTTAACCCTTTCTTTGTTTTGTCACCATCCTTAATTTCTATATCCTCCAAAAGCTTCCTAATTTCCCACTGATTTAAAGACCATTAAGAAAACAAATAATTCCCGAAAGTGACTTTTGTTTTGCATTATAGAATTTGTGGATTTAAATCTATGGAATTGAAATTAAATTAAAGAGTGTAAAAAATATATAGATTTGGTGCGGCGGGGAGTGGGAGTGGGAGTGGGAAGAAGTTGTAGCCACAACAACAATAGACGTGGAAACATGCACACGTGCAACTATGCCAAGTAGCTAGGGGTGTTAGAGGTCAAAAGTACACTTATCTATAGATATGAAGCTCTTATTGGCTCGACGGTGGAATTGGTTATATTGCATCTCAAAGTCATTCTCGATTGATGAAGCATATAGGGATGTGTATTGGTTCGTTTTTAGGTGAAAATTTGTGCATACACAATTAAGTTGCTAAATTTAAATATGAGGCATGTTCAGTTGCGGAGCTAACTCGTGTATACTTGGAAACGGGATCCAGATAAGGTCAGAAGTACACTTATCCATAGATATGAAGCTCTTATTGGCTCGACGGTGGAATTGGTTGTATCGCGACTCAAAGTCATTCTCGATTGATGAAGCGTATAGGGATGTGTATTGGTTCGATTTTAGGTGAAAATTCGTGCATACACAATTAAGTGGGTAAATTTAAATGTTAGGCATGTTCAGTGGCGGAGCTAACTAGTGTCTACTTGAAAACAGTATCCAGATAAGGGACCTCTCTGTAAAATACCATCATTTTCACCACTAAGTTACATGTCACTATATGCTTTATTGCATAATAGTTATGGTTATGTAGTTACACGTGCTTAATGGTCTCTTCAATAAGGTTAACGCGAAATTGCTATGTTGTGTGTCATGTTTGAATCTAGAAGATTCATTTGTTAACTTTGACGAGAAAAGGTTGTTTAAAGTTGCAACATTTTATCCTAATGAAGTTTCTAAAGGTGATATCTTACATCTTGACTTTCATCAACTAGATGTTTATATGGTTGATATGAAAATAGTTGAGAGGTTTGCGGGATTAAAGAAAAATTTTGAATTTTTTAGGGAAATGGTTGTGTAAAAAAAGTCGAGTGTTTCAGTTAGTGCATCAACTTATAAGTTGGTGTTGTTGCTACTTGTCATCATTAGGGATAGCAACACAACTCGTATCCACGGCCCACGGGTACCTTACTCAATCCAACCTAGTCAAAGCATATAAAACCCGCATTGACGAATTGCAAGTCGGGTTTGGGTTGAAACCCATTGCACTGTTCAGCGGGTTGAGTTGAGCCCGGATTTAGGTATATCCGGCTCATGGATACTCGTCCACACCGTGCTCCACAATTCGTCGATTAACCGTGTTATTGTTCGTGAACGTTTATCTTTAATATTGAACAATTTGTATTGATAATTTATGGTTTTGCTTATATATACTAGATTGACGTTTTTTGTATGGATAATTTATTTTGGGAAGATTGGTGTTAAACTTTTATTTTGACAAGAGATTGATATTATGTATTTTTGTCCATCATAACCCATGGGTATCCATATGGATACTCAGACGATTGGTTTGGATTTGAGGTTCTATAACCAGTTGAATTTTTCCTTGGGGTTTTTTTCTTGCTGATATACCCACTGGGTTGGGTTTGAATTTGGCATAACCCTACCTATTGTCATCCCTAGTGATCACTACAAGTGTTGAAGGAGTATTTTCTTAAATAAACTATGCAAAAAACACACTTCATAATCAGATGAGTGATGAAATCATAAACGCTATTTTGATAGGTTATATTGAAAATAATATCCTTAATAGTTTGGATGATGAATGTTCTTTAGATGCTTTTTTTCAAAATATGAAAACAAAACTACTGCATAACAATAATACATTTATGTTACTATTTTCTGTAAGCTAGGACCTCACTAAGAAGAATTCTTGACTACAGGCACATTCATCCAATATACAATATTCGATGAATTGGGTAGGTTAATGCGTCTCCATGTTGGTTGGGTGATAAGGTGATCTACATAAATTGGAAAATTTATCTTGGAATGAGAAACTACCAAACACTGATACAAAAATTCACATGATTTTCTTGGAAATTATATGGTTGATGTCGCCGATTATGCACTAGAAGTTCAATTTTTCCCCCAAGAAATACCCCATGTAGATAATATGCTATGCAAAATTAACCTAATATTTATGAGAAACATCTAACCTAATATTTAAACTAAAATGTTCATGAGTATCATTAGTTGCCTTCACTCAATGACAACTGCAGAGCATGCTCTGCCTCCCTGAGAAACAATCTGGTCATCTCCTTTTGCCCTCTTCTGTACACTATGCTCGACCAACGATTCCGACCCATTGGCTTCATCACTTCATTCGAGTTTCCTTTCTGCTCAAACACTTCCTTCTGGTTCATGGTTCCAACGTCCTTAGCATTTTCGAGCAGCTCAATATCGTTTTCCTCTGTTCCAGTACCCTCTTCTAAATCTGCCATCCTGACGAAAAAAGAGCATTTATGTAAACTATGTCAAGCAATGAAACAACATGGTTATGACCTATGGTTAGGGCATGCTAAGAAGCTTAAGAGTTTTGCGGGTACTTGGTCTGCAGAATATCGACCAGCAACTGAAAGGCTCCTGAATCTCCACAAGCTTCCCAAACAGCTGTCCTTACTTCAGAGTCTGTAGGTTGTCTCTCCTCGTCAGAGCCTACGAGCTTTTAAACAGAAGCAGCATTAGTTTCTTAGAGTCTCATCGTAAACATTGCAAACACAAGTTTAGGTCAATTGCTATATTCATGGTTATGGACAAATCGATCGCTAGGCTATGTTTTTATCGGACTTATCACTAACGTTTGAAATAACGAACATAACAGTCACTATGTCAAACTCTGATAAGTTCTATGTCTAAGTAATGTGAGATAGGTAAATTGGAATTCCGATAGCCAAACTAGACAACTTCTATGAAAAGCTAGAATGGGCGGCTGTTCTTACTACAAACTTCAGTGACAAATTCCTGAAAAATCAAAGTTCAGTGACCAATTTGTCAGTGACCTCCAAAAGAGAATTCATGCGATTGGCCCAAAACAAAAATCAACAGAAAGGGAAAGTGTGGTTGGGGAAGGGATTGAAGCTTTTCTGTCTTTTACCTCTTCTAGCAATGAAGAGACCTTGAAAAGCTGGTCTTCCTGGATGGATATGGTCCTTAATGCAGTTAAGAGATCATCAGGAAACACCAGCTTATCAATGTATGAGGGCGCACTACGCTGACCACTCCAACTGAAGTTGGAAGCTTTTCTTAAATCAGGCTTCTCAGTTTCACCATTGTTGCTCGAGGAGGAGCCTGCCTGGAAGAATCCTTTGTTTAGCAGGGTTTTGGGCAAAAGATGTCTCATTTCAGCTTTCTGCGGGATAGAGCCAGTTTTATCAGAACTGTGAATTTTGAGAAAATGGTATCCTGCTAAGACTTTGGGAAAGACATATAATTTACCTAAGAGGTCAAGAAAGAGCTGACCTGTGCCTGAAGAAGCTGCAACTTGGCTTCTGAGAAGGGAGCACTCTGAATGGCTTCGATGGGGTAATGAACCTGATATATTCAAGCAAAAGTTCTCAGTGGGATGAAACACAATGGCGAATGTACAAGCGAATTGCTGCAGTACAAGGTCAAAACATGTCAAAAACTCATTCAACAACCACCTAATGTGTGAATAATATTAATCATTTGCAATGGGAGTGGACGAGAGGACATAAAACAGGATATAGATATGAAATGTGCATGCAAGAGACGTCACCATTAGGTAGTCATCTGGATTATTTTCCATCACAAATCCATAGAGATAGAGTAATTCCTGCATCATTATGAAAATCAATTAGGTATTTGTTGCACATACTACTCTCACAGTTGCTAAATATTTGGTAACATCCGGAAAAGATGAGATTTAACTATTCAAGAAGAATGACTACTAGTTGTTTAAGTCCATTCAAGAGGTAAGCTTCAGCAAGTACCTCATTGCCTTTGTTTCCATAACTGATGGAGATCTCTTTCCCAACGCTGAAGAGGCTTCGCTCAGCTTTTGAATTAACAAAGTTTAATTACTATGATTAGAGTAAACAATGTAACAGTTAAACCAAAGTCTTGTCATTAAGGTTTGACAAAGCCATCATTCGATTGAGATAAATGATTACACGAACACAACTCTACTGAAATATCGAATCAGAGAATATTTACCAGAAAGGAGGTACATAGAGCAAGGAGATCCAGTCACCAAGCCAGTCCCGTCTACCTCCCATGTCGCCATAGCCTTCAAGTCTGAACAGCCAGCCATATCCAGCAACGGCAGATAAACATTAAAAGTAGGTAGATTTTTTACTTTGCAAATAGGGTTCACAAGTGAAACCTAAATAAGGGGATAATTGTACAATGAGAAACAGAGCTTCAATATATTATATGAACAACCTATTGCACTTCAAATGATAACTACAGTATGCAACCCTCTTACTTGATTGCTAAATTGTTATATATAAGCATTTTTATGTGATCTTGTCTCATTAATATAAGGCGTACCATGGTTGCAAAAATCAATGCCTGGAACAAGACCCTCTACCCAAACAGTATCCTCTTGACTTGAGCTAGAAGGCGCTCCATTGACTTGGCCCTCAGAAACTTTAATTTTCAAATCTGTATGAGTAGAATAAGGAAATCCGAGAATGAGATAACCAATCTCCCAGCCTTGTTCTTCTATGGACGCCTACAGTAAGAATCAAATTAAGATGAATACCAAGAGGGAAAAATTATTTCTCACTTTCTCCACTGCTTCCGTTCACTGAAACTCCACCTTCACATAATATATCATCGACGGTGGAATGACAGCCATTATCCTCCTGAAATGTAGGAAATACATAGGAACGCGGAAAAGGAATGTTCAAAGCACGACTCCAGAACACAGAATTTGCCCTACAAGCAACGCAGGATAGCCAAAAAGGTAAAAACAACAAGAACCAAGTTATGTAAAGGATCAACTAAGTAAACCATAAGTAATATTTGCAAAAGAAGACAGTTTGATTTAGCAGATACGCACCGTAGGAAATCTTCAAAAGTGGCCTCCCTGTCAAGAGAAACAAGAGAAATTATGAACTTTCTTTCAAATTGATAGATGCAACTTATGTGATGTGCAATAACTCAACTACTGAAGGAAGATAGCAAGGTCCATTCATATTGGGAGTTGTCTGTGGAAATGAATTAGAGAGAAGTCGAGTAAAGGAGCTCACCTTTCGGTATTCCCATCAAGAGCAAGAAGTTTTCTCACCAGACTCTTCACTTTGTTCTCGAAGAGAGACATCAAAGTCTTCTTCTGTAGAAGCACATCTTTCCTCAATTTAGTTATAGGATATCAAAGACGGGGAAAACTAATGATCCAATGGTTGATATATTGACAACGACATTCACAATCCACAATTCTAGACTTTTACTTATTGTGAACAGCCTAAGGGCATAATGCACCTGTAATTGAGTTGCCCGATACAGTGTAGTCCCTTCCAGCTCTAAGATCTCATCATCAGTAAACCACAGTGGGTTCCCAAAAGTAGTTGGAAGCATGTCGAGGTACCTTATGTGAACAAATATCAAACATACTCAGCCATCAAAGGACCTGGATTCAAACTTGTACACCAAAAAGAAAAGGCTGTGGGTACTTAACGGCTTCCAAGAAGAATTGTTCTCCCTAAGGCGCTCCACTACAAGGAACAGAATCATCAAGAACCTGTCATCCACTTCTCCTTCTTCAAGCATCGCTCTACAATCCGGTCCAATGAGGGGATCTTGCAATACCCTCATTGGAGTTATTGCTAAATCCAATGGAACAGCAAGAACAACTCCTGCAAAAACAATTGGAATCAAAATTTGTTCAGCAACCAATCACTTGATCCAAAAGTAAAATGTAATCCAATCGACAGTTCAACTTTCTGCCATTTCAGAGAATCAAACATACTCAATCCCAAATCAAAAGCCAAACCATTCATGGACGAGAAGCTTTCATAACCCTGAACATATTGCCCTGAAATGGGAATTGAAGCTAAAGAATTTCGCAACCCTTCATAACATTAACTAGCACCAACAAATAACATTTGTCCTGAGGAAATCGATCTTGTCCACTAGACATTCACACGGCAGAAAGAAATTGATCGATTACCATCATCGGAGACGTCGCCGGAGGAAAATAATCCGAACCCTTTATTCTGGCTACAGTACTTAATCTCACAGCTCCGAAGCTCAACCTTGTTCACCTACGCAACTCGACCATTCCAAATATAAACAACGGGGACATGTAGCACTGAAATCTTAGCGAAACTAACGGAGAAATACGGAGAGCGAGAGCTTACTAGCAGCCATTGCAGGAAAGTTTGGAGCTTTTCTTCTTCTTGAGCGCCTGCAGCCATCGGAATAAAGTTCTTACAGTTGCGCTGAGCGCAGAATCGGGTGCATGAATACAAACCTAAACCCAAAACCCAGCCGCAGGGTTTATGTCACGAATCGACCCGAGCCCGTGCCGTGGTGGTGGTTTACCACTGGACCCGTAGTGGACCCCACTTGACCAGCTCACTCGTGGTTGATTCATTGAAAACTTTGTGTGGCATGGCTGCCAGCTTTTTCCCCTTTTCTCGGTTTCATTGATTCATCACCAAGCGAACTCCCAGAACTGTTTGCCCTAGTAAGTTTCAAGCAGAACTGGTGATTGTGTCCTCCGTTTATTCGGCAGTCAAATTGCATGTACTGTTTGCCTTCACGTAGTTGCAATCAATTGCATGTACTGGGAGAAAAGGTTTCACCGGTTGCTGTCGACTTTCAAACATACATCTGTAGCTTTTTATCCAGATGTGTTTCATGGTGCTTTTTATCCAGATATAAAGAACTGCAAGAAAGGTGGGAAATGGAGAATAATACAGTGAAATATGCGGAAGAAAGAAAAACATGACGAGATTGACGACAATCAATCGACAACACTGGCAAAGTAAAAGAATAGCGAAGACGATAGGATATATACTGGAAATATATAATAGTGAGGAGGAAGAGAAGACTGATGATACAAAATTGGAGAGGAAGCCAGCCAGCCAGCCTAGGGCAGCATGGTGAGTCAGGAAACAAGCCTTGGATACTCACATACACGTATACATATAGGAGAGCTTCGATACATAATTTACAAGTAGAGCGGCCTAATCTAATACAAAAGCCGAAGTTAGCGTAGTAGAGAGTACTGCATCAAAGTCTTTCCTTCCTTATTCACAACGTCGGAGATACGAAAAGCACCAGCAACGGCAGCAACCACTGCATCAAATGTGATGCTCGTCGCGTTGAGGGAGGAGCTGCTGATGGTCGCAAGGGAGCTCTACCTGCAACAGCTGGTGAAACAGCATGCTGACCGGGAATCCTCTGTTCCTGGTTCGTTGGGAGTGGGTTAGCACTTCCCGATGGATTGCCTGGTGCCCAGATGATCTCGTCTTCGCCTGCATATTACGTGGTTTGGAAATGTGAGTGCATGGGCTACAGCTAGGAGTGGGGGAAACAGTGTTCAAGTGAGGTTCAGTGCAGTTAAACCGCACCGGTGTTGCCCACTCCACAGGTTACAAAACCGCCAATTTGTTAGAAGAATAGTAAGGGTTTAAGAACTCACATTTAGAGCGAGACCAGCCAAGGTTCAGGTTTTCCCTATCAAACACCATCCGATATCCAGTCATGAAATTCACTGCATAGAGTTTAGTGTGAGTTGAAGCTAGGAATTGGACCAAATCAGAGAGCAGAAGTTTACACTGTACAAACTTACGTCCAATAATTCCAATATCCCCATCAGCAGGTTGAACAGCTAAACAAAATCCAGTCAAACCCTACACAAACCAAGTTCAACAGGACTTACGTCGTTGGTTGATAGCACACTGCACAAAGAGACCAACAGAAAATATAGACGAGCTACATGCTATGTTTGTTAGATAATGTCTTACCTGAATGCCATATACCATAAAAACAGGATTATGGATCATAAAGCTGTTGTTCATTGCAAACAAGAGCTTCATTGATGGTATTTTTGGGGAGTCCTGTGAGCTGTCCACATAAAACCCAACATTTAGAGAGAAAAAAAAAGGAAACATACAAGCTGTCAAATGCTCTTTAGTCTAAGCAAATTAACTACCTGGACTTGTAGCAGTACTTCCAAGGATAACCCTTCAAAGGTTGATATAGTAGAATTTACCTGCCTGTGAAACTAACAAACAAAACCAGGAAATTAGTATAGAGGTAGCCAAAACATAATTAAGCTAAGGGTTGTTTGGTAACTAGGGATTGCTCCCACTGATTCTGAATATACAAGGTTTCTCACAATTCATCGGTTTTATTGTCTGAATATGGTAGGAACCAACCCCCCAACTCCCCCCACCCCCACACCCAAAGAAACAACATTTCTTAAGTGCATGATATCATGCATTCCACCTAAAGATTTGAACAATGCATAGAAATACAATTGTGTGGGTTCCACATTACAATTCCTAAAACCAGAAACTGTATTTTAACATTACCCACGTCCCTACTGTTCCATTCACAAAACACAAGATTTCTTAATATGCATGTAGTCTACAATGCAATGATAGCAAACCCCCAAAGTCACTTGAATAGAAATACAACAAGTAACTACCTCATTAGCAGTCTTCTCATACACATCCTCAGGAAGAAATGTGAAAGATGTACCACTATCAATCAGTGCCTTGAATCTTGTCTGCTTAAGGCAAGAACCACCAATGCAACACCCGTCCACTCCAACTATGTAGGTCGTGCTGAGTCAAGCCATAAATCGATAAGAATTTGCAAATACTTGATACTACAACCAGATTAAAAAGGCAACAAAGTTTTTATCCTACTCAAAAGTGCTAAGATGGGTCGTACTAATTTCCATTTGAAGTTAGGAAGGGAGTAGACTGTTGGGCCATGCGGACCCTGATCACCGAAATAAATTTTCCCTGAATCTTCCTCATCGAAGCACAAAGAGAAGGAATCCTGAATAAATCCTGCTTTTGCAAGAAAGCTTGGAACTGAGATTTTTCCTGGCCCCAAACCCATGAGACCATCCGGGGCAATTCCATCCAAGTAACCACCACTTTGTGTCATGCCACATCTGCACAAATATGATATAAGTCAGCATAACAATTGAAAATTTGAATTAAAGGAAACTCAAAGAACAGAAATGAAACACACCCCATGAGCACCGGAGCTTTCACAGAAGCATTTGATGCACCAAGATCATCATTTGAGGCAAAAATATAATACATCCTCAACCAGCAAGCCAGAACTGGATGTATTCTCGGAGTAATAGTCAACAGAGTATGGGCACTGCTGGGTTGGACTTTTGCATTTTGAACCAAGTTCGCATAACTGGTGGCTGCATGTGAGGAGCTTGCTGCTACTTGATTGAGATGGACTATATGCATTGAGATCTTGACCCTGCACAATTAGATGCTCCAAATACAAGGGAGCACCTGCCAATCAATCATTGGAAATAAGTGCTAAACCGGTTACCCATAGCTTAGCAGAGAAATTACACTTCAAATCTTAATTATTTTATGTACCTATCTTAAATTTTCAGGAGCCAATCATAATAGTAAATTAACATTCAAAACAGACGAGACTGAGAGGAACCAAAGATCGCCCAGAGAATCCTAAGAGTAAAATAATCTAAGGAACTCTTGCACCAGAACATAGGATCCAACATTTCCTGAAGATTGCAGAGATTAATAAACTTCAATAGAACTTTTGTTCCCTCTTTCAGCCCCAGGCAAGAAAGATATAATCACTAAAGAATATGTACAAACAACAATAAAGAACTCCGAGCGACTCAAAGCCCAGATACTTATCAGTAGTAAGGCAATGACTTGAAGCAAATGGGAAACCAAGCTAAAAAACGGAAGGATGGTTTACCAAACTGGCATAGTAACGGGCCGACAATGGGGCGCACTGCAAGCAATCACAGGGCACCCAGAGCAAATCACTCCCTGTATCTACTGCGACAAGGAAGGAGACATGAGGAGTCCCCACATCTATCAAAGTATAGTGCAACCTGCAAATGATACAATCGATGTATCAGACAAAAGGTCAAGCAGGTTGCAGACATAAAGATATACCCTGGAGTCAAGCAAACTTCAGTAAGCCTGTGATTTTTGTACCAACACCAACTGTGCAGCTTCTCAACTTCTCACGAGACTAGTGAGAAGAAAACTTACAACACATACACAGTATAAGAGCTGAAGAATCAGCTAAAACTATTTGATGCAGCTTCGCAAACTAGTCAGTATCTTTCTTCCCCACTTGCGTCAATTTTCTGATCAACACTTGAGGACCAAGTTGCAGATGACCATCCAACATGCTCAAAAACCAATTTAGTCCCTCTCATAAACACTTGATCTCCCCGAAAAGTAAAGTTTTTTAAAGCAAATCTTTCCATCTCAACCCAACCCATTAAAGTTTGTATCTTATCTTCTTCCACAATATCCTGTGATAGAGCGACTCTTCTAGCTTTTCACATATATCTTCCAGTTGTTAGTCAAACAAAATACTCAAACCTTTTTCTCTACATGTCAAAGTCGGAGAGCAAGAAGAATGGTAGAAATCCAAGGCAGTTTCACATTTGTCAACTCAATCGCAGAACTATCAACCCAGAAATATAAAGAAAAGAACGAACTCCCCAAATCGCTCCCTTTCTTTAGCAGGAACCCAAACAAATTAAAACAGAAGCAACAAAGAGGAAACAAAAAGACAAACCCTTTAACTTCCTCCCAAAGTTCCCGGAAAAAATTCCCCCCTTCATCGAAACAATAACTAGACGGGCACCCAAAGCAACAAAAGCCAACTCCCAGCTAAAACACTACGCCAAAGCTCCCCAACCCCCCAAGAGAAAAATAATTGGAAAGCAAATTGAAAGCAAATGTACCATCCAAAGTCATTCCCCAAGGAGACGGTATTGCTCCCTTCAACAGGGAAAAGGAACTGGTAGCGAGGGCCGAGCTTCATCTTCTGCCTCTGAAGGTCGCTGTCGAGCAGCAAGCTGTAGTACTCCAAGCTCCTCTTCTCCGGCCAGTAGACGCTGGCGGTGACATTCCGACCAACTCTCAACGCCTTGGCCTCGTCGGAGAAGCGGTGAATCAGCTTGGTCGAGAGGGCGATCCCCTGCTGCGCCGCCTCGAGGCCGGCCAGCAGAGCCGCCGCGAGAAAGAGGAGGAACAGAGATCGAGCCGCCAACATGGCGACTCGACGGATTCCGGATTTGGGATACGGGGAATGGAAGCGGAGATCTGGGAATTGATGGCGGTGGGTGGGGTGAAGGGGAGGAGCGGCGGAGGAGCTGGAGGAGGCGGTGAAAAGGTAAAGTTGGAGGGAGAGTGAGAGTGAGAGTTTAGAGAGAGAAAAGGAGGAGAAAGAAGGAGAGATCATGTGATGTCCATATTCTTCACTTCACAGTTCACAAACGCCACACATACAGAAGAAAAAACATTTCTTCTTTAGTTTTTTCTTTTCTTTTCTTCCTCTCCTCGCCTCAGCTGACGGCTCCCTTACTTTCCTTTGGAGCTTTGTGGGAAAGAAAATGCTACCTTTCTCGATGTTTTTCCTTGGTGCTATCTTGTATTTCTACTTTCTTTATCTCTCTATTTATTTGGATGCAATTTCTCCCAACCTCCTTTCCTTTATCTATTTATCTTGATCATGGCAATTTTGACTTACTTTTTTATTGATAGTAAGCTTGTGAGCAGCATAGCATGTCCATGAACCTGTATCGTACCGGCAGTTCAATTACAGAATACTATTATTAGAGGCTAAATCGATAGACGGTATTTAATGGTACTAAGGTTGAACTACGGTTAAAATACGATTTTAACATAAGATACCCTACCGCTGACTTTCTCGATACGGTCTCCGGTACGGTTTCATGGACCTTGCTTGTGAGACGGTTAGAACGGATCGAAAATCGACAATGTAAGATAGTAAAAAACATACAGATTACATGGTTTACTAACACAATGTGTGTTAGCTAGTACACGAGCAGATAATTCGATTTAAAGCATATCAACAAATCTCCACCTTAACCTAAAACCTTCCTCCAAATCTCAAATTTATTCAAATCATCTCTCTCATGTCTCAATGCCCCCTAAGTGCTTCATCCCCTCGGGACATTTAACAAGTCTAAGTAGTGTTGGAAATTGTCATGTGAAACCGGCTTCGTGAACATATCAGCAGGATTTTTAGTAGTGCCCACTTTCTTCGCCTTAATCCTCTTTTATGTTCTCAATAAATGATACCTCACATCGATGTGTTTAGTCCTCTCATGGTGAACTTGATCTTTGGCCAAACATACTGCACTCAAATTGTCACAATATACCACTGTATAATCATGATGTAAACTTACATCACTAATCGGCTGCTTCAACCATATTTCCTCTTTTGCAGCTTTTGGCCGTCCCATGTACTCTGCATTAGTAGTAGAAAAGTAACCATAGACTACAACGTTGCGTTATGGCTAACCTTAGAACCTACAAGAGTAAATACATAACCAGACATAAATCTCCTCATGTGATCAACAACTTTAGCATAATAAGAATCTGAATAATAAGCCACTAAGCACTCTGTATCACTTCCAAAGTTAATCACCATATCAGATGTACCTCTAAGGTACCAAAAAATCCTCTTCACATCTTGCTATTGTTCTTTCTGACGTTGCACTTTTCAAAGAATCAAAACGAAAGCAAGAACGAAAGACACAAAGTTTTTTAACGTGGTATCATCAATGTGACACTAGTCCATGTAGAGGATCTCCCTTTCCGATTTTATGTTTTCGTATTTCGTTAGTTCTTTCTGTTCTGTTACACTAATATATATGGTTTGTTAGAACAAACCCTAGATACAATTACATAAATGTACCCAAACTTCTATACTTTAACACCCTCCCTCAAATTGATGTCGATTACTCAACATCAATATGCAAGAGAGATACTAGTGCCTGGTCAAACTAACTGCCTTCGTCAGAATATCCGCAGTCTGATCATCATCCGACAAATGACTGATCTGGATCACTCCTTCAGATACAAGTTGTCGTATGTAGTGAACGTGTACCTCTATGTAGGGCTGTCATTTCGGTTGCCACTTAGCGGCTAACCGGCCGGTCTAACCGTTAACTGTCCGTTAGCGGCTAACCGAAAACCAATGAGTAAATACGTCGGTCGGTGGTCGGAATAGGTAGGTGGTGCGTCGGCTAACCGATAAACCGAAGCCGGTTAACCGGCTAACCGATGCAACCGACCGACCTAAACAGTGTCGTTTTGCCCTAGCTGTTCTAAAACCCCCACAGCCCCAACCCTACCTTCGTCTTCGTGTTCCTCCACAGTAGCACTCAGCAGCAGCCAGCAGCCGCCCCGCGTCCCCGCCACCTCCTCCACCCTCCCAACGAGACGATCCATTCCAATCGGCAACGACGGTCGCCGTCTCCTCGCGTTCCACCGCCGACCACTGCCTTCCCGAGACGCACGACGAACTTCCTCGACACATCCGAGAGCCCGAGACCTCATCCTCCGCTGCCTTCTCCCTCCCCCGCCTTGACCTCCTCCCTCCCTCGCGTGACAGGCCCTGCCAGCATCTCACCGCCGATGTTAGGTCTCCGAGACGGCGAGACCCCCTCCTCCGCCCCTCCCTGCCCCGCCTTGTCAATCTCCCCCGGCGACCCCCACCGGCGCCAGCGCCATCCTGCTCGGCTGCTCCTTGAGTCTTGACTGCAGACTCATATATTATGTAAGTTTATTAGAATTTAGAAATTTAAAATGATGATTTAGAGTTTTAATGATTGATTTATGAATGAATGATGATGATTTTGGTGGATTGATGATGATTTTGAATGATTAATGATGATGATGGGTGAATGGTGATGATGATGAACAACCACAGAAATGGGATGTTTATCTGCTTATAAGTTAATAAGTTATAAAGGTTTAGTGATGATGAATGATGATGATTTTGATGATGCTTGTTAGTTGTTACTTGTTAGAATTTGTGAAATTTTTTTCAATTTTTAATTTGTGTAACTGTTGATATAGGGAGAGACCTCCGGCTCCACGTGGTGGACGTGGTGGGAGATCTCTGGCTCCTCGAGGTCGTGGTGGTGCGCGTGCCTCAGCCCCTCATGCTCAGAATCAGGGTCGTGGTGGACGTACAGGGAGTCGGCATGTTCAGTCTGCTGAACCGTCGGCGTCGGCATCAATTGCATCGACTCCCACCCATGCCGATAGTGGAAGTACACGTGTTGCTGAGACTCCTTCAATAGAAACGGTTAATCCGGCTTCAGATAAAGTTAAAGGCAATAACTCCGATCTAGAGAAATGGTTGGAGACAAATGCTACAACTGATTGCTGGAAGGATTTTACGAAGGTGGCGGTGGATGAGTATCCGATGGGAGAGTGCAGGCATTGTCATACTAAAATCAAAGCACATTCATCCAAGAACGGCACTTCTGCAATGAATAACCATTTGAGATCATGTTTGTCTAAGGTTGCAGCATCCATGGATCAGACTGTTCTGAACTTGCAAGCCGCAGATGGTAGTCAAAGTCAAGTAAGTGCTTTATGGAAGTTTGATCAAGCAAAAGCTAGATATGCCTTAGCCATGATGATCATTATGGATGAGTTGTCTTTTCGCTTTGTGAAAAGAGAAGGGTTTAAGCAGTTTATGCAAGTTGTTCAGCCGCTGTTTAAGATACCTGGGAGGAGAGGTATCAGAGATGATTGCTTTCATATATTCTTGGAGAAAAAAATGCATTTGATAGAGTTTTTTGAATCAAAGAGCAAAGGTAGAGTTTCAATCACCACAGATACATGGACATCTGACAACAACAAAAATTACATGTGTGTGACTGCTCACTTTGTTGGAGTTGATTGGAAGTTGCAAAAGAAGGTTCTCTGCTTTGTTCCCATCACAAGTCACACAGGAAAGGATATTGCAGAGAAGCTTGCAGAAATTCTTGAAGAATGGAAGGTGAAGAATATGTTCTCCATGAACATGGACAATGCATCTACAAATGATATTGTGAGTGATTGCATGAGAACAAAATTAAAAGAGTGGGGGTGTGATGTGATGGATGGGAAGTATCCTCAGTTTCGCTGTGTCGCACACATCATTAATCTGGTAGTGCAGGATGGATTGCAAGTGATTGGAGAAGTTGTGGATAGAGTTCGGGACTGTGTGAAGTGGGTGAGGTCATCACCAGCTAGGTTGACAAGGTTCAAGACTGCCATGCAATTTCTGGAGTTGGAGTCAAGCAAATTGGTGTGTTTGGATTTACCGACCAGGTGGAACTCCACCTATATCATGTTAGAAGCAGCAGAAAGGTTTGGTGGAGTGTTTACAACTTTGTATTCAAGTATACACGATCATTCCTTCAGGGATTATGTTGACATAAGAGGTGGTCTTCCAACTGAACAAGATTGGCAGTTGATTAGGAAGTTGATGAAGTATCTGAAAGTCTTTAATGACTTGACCCTCCTAGTCTCAGGTAAGTGGAATTTTAACTGCATTGTTTTATTTTAATTTGATCATTTGACAATTTTGGTTTGTTTAAGTCTAATCCTGTATTCTATTCTCATTGTACAGGAACTTCATATGTGACTACCCATATTTTCTTTAAGAAACTTGGTCCAGTTTATGACATCATTGAGGAATTGAAGAATGATCCGCATGAAGAGTCCCAAAAGATGGCATAAAAGGTTGAAGAAAATGTACAGAAGTATTGATTTGAGACACCTGTCATGAATGAGGAGAATACAAAGGTGAATCACATAATTTATATAGCATGTGTGCTTGATCCTAGAAGTAAACTGTATCTGGTGTCTGAAGTGTTAGAAATGATTTATGGACGTATCAAAGGAGGAGAAATTCAGATTTCTATTAAAAGGGAGATGCGCAGATGTTTGAGGTTTATAAGAGGAAGTATGGATCAGAGTCTGCATCTCAACCTATCACTGATGATAACATTATTGATGGTAGTTCTGGTTCTGGTGATGGTGATTGGATTAAGAAGTTAGAGGAGAGGCTTAGAAAGAGAAAAAGGGAAGCACTTCTTCTGGAAATAGGAGGTAGCTCTGCTGAGCTTGACATCTATTTGCAATGTCAAACTGATGGCATCAATGAAGAGAGTGATGATGCAAAGTTTGACATCTTGGATTGGTGGTCTCGACACTCTAGAATATATCTGATTCTTGCTGAGATGGCTAAGGATGTCCTAGTTGTTCCCATCTCTTATGTTGCCTCAGAGGTAAGATTCAACTGTGGCGGGCCGATTCTCAGTCCATTCAGGTCCTCTTTGAGCGAGCTAATGGTGGAGGCATTGATTTGTGCTGAGGATTAGATAAGGTATCGGATCCAGGGAGATTGACGATAAGGAAGACGATGAAGAGAATTTGACTTTGGAAAGTAGTGAGTTTTGAAACTCTCTTATTGTTCAGTTTTTCGCCTTCTTTCCACCTAATTCAATGTATGAATGTACTAACACTTTGTTTTTTTTTTTTTACTCAGTTAATGCCACTTTCCAAACTAGAATGGAAAGTGCAACGGATACTGGCAATGTTAGCAATGCAGATGCAAGCCTCAACATTCCAGTGGAGAATGAGCAGGAGGGTGAAGAAGAAGTAACGGAGGAAGAGTATGAGAAAGATGGATGTGACGATTATGGTCATGACTTGTTGCCCCAATTGAACGAACAGGGTTATGCAGATGTTGGTTCTTCTAAGGCTGGTGATAAGTGATTACAGATGATGATGTGTTGTTGATTTGTTGCTATTTGGAGGATCTATTGTGATTTGTGGAGTTTATGTTGTTGAATTAATGAATGTGAGACATTAATTTGCTAATTTAGATGTACTTTCGATGCAAAAGAAATTGAAATGTAGGTTTGAGATTTTAATTTTAGGTGTTTTTAGTGTTTTTTTCTTGATGGTCGATCGGTTAGGCGTTGTCAGCCGAACCGGTCTTCATTTTTCGGTTGCCCAGGTTAAACCACGCTGAAACCGAAAACCGGTCGGTCGGTCTGTGACTAACCGAGGCTGGAGGGGCGGTTGGGTGTCGGAAGTAGCTGGTGTGTCTCGGTTTAACCGATAACTGAGAAATCGGTTTTCGGTTAAATTGAAACCGACCGACTGCCAGCCCTACCTCTATGTGCTTCGTACGGTCATGGAGGACTGGATTATTTGCAATCTAAGTTGCACTCGTATTATCTCCATATAAATGCATCTGTTGCCTGCACCCAACCCTTAACTCACTGAACAATCGCTACAACCAGACCATTTCTGACCTCACTTCCGATATTGACCTATACTCTGCCTCTGTCGATGATTTAAAAACTTTATCTTGTTTCTTGCACCGCCAAGACACAAAGGAACGATCAAACCAAACACACCATCCTTAAGTTGACCTTCTCGTATCTAAGCATCGAGCATAATCTACATATGCAAAAGCTTCAATAACTAGTTCGCCACTACTAGGGAATGCAAGTCCCACATCTTCTGTATACTTCAAGTATCATAGTATACGATGTCCTGCATCCAGATGTTGGGTTCGAGAAACTCCTATGAATTGATTCACAACCTGCACTGTATAAGCTATATCTGGTCTCGTATGTGTGACAGTGTGAGATAGATCAAGCTCCCAACTATGCTCCTGTAGAACGTCTGATCTTCCAACATTTCACCACTTTCCCTGCTCAGTTTCAAGTTTTGTTCCATGGGAGTGGAACACGGCTTGCAATCCTGATACTCGGCAGTTGTGAGCAGATCGGTGATGTACTTCTTTTGGCACAGGAAATATCCATCTGGGGAGCGAACCACTTCTAGACCCAAGAAATAAGAAACGAGACCTAGTTCTTTTAGATAAAATGCATCTCTGAGCACTGTCGTTAAGTCCTTAATCCCATTCTGATCACTCCCTGTCACTATCATATCATCAACATAGAGTAGCAACACCACCATACCTTCAACTGTCTTCTAGATAAACATAAAACGATCGTTCTGACTTTGAACAAAGCCAGCCTGAACAATAGTTCCATGGAAATTATCAAACCAAGAACGTGGCGCCTGCTTCAATCCATACAACGAACATCGTAGTCTACACACCATTCCTAGTCCACCATTCGTGTAGCCCTCTCAACACTCCATATAAATGATTTCCTTAAGATCACCATGCAGAAATGCATTCTTCACATCAAACCGAATGACCGCCCACCATGCATCGCTGCAACGGCAAAGACATTGTGAACCATCTGCATTTTCACTACCGAAGCAAATGTCTCATCATAGTCGATCCCAAATTCTTGTTGAAATCCTTGGGCAACCAACCGAGACTTGTGTTGTTCTATAGAGCCATCGAGATTCATCTTGATGTTATACACCAAACGAAAACCAATAACAGTCATGTCTGGCGTACGTGGAACCATATCCCAAGTGTGATTCACTTCCAACCATGGACCAGGAAACCGGATCGTACCGGTCGGTTCAACCGGAAACCGGACCAATAACGATACGGCAGGCTGGTTTGCTTCAAAATATCGTACCGGCCGGTTTTCCGGCTTAATCGGTACAAACGAAAAAACCGCCCGGTTTTGGTCTAACCGGCGGTAGGCTCATTGGAAGGAAAACATCACCGTTCTAATACTAAAAATTGCCAAAGGCCAAAAAAAAAAATTGAAAAACCCCTAATCTGGCCATCGGGGAGGGCTTTTAGGGATGGCAATGGGTCGGGTTGGATCGGGTTTTGCCAAACCCAAACCCAAACCCAAACCCATGGGTTTATCTTTGAAAAAAACCCGGGGTAAAACCCACTGGGTTTGAAAAACTCAAACCCAACCCAACCCGTTGGGTATCCGCGGGTTCATGGGTACCCACGGGTTTTGTCGTAAAAAATTTACAATTACAAGTTCTTATCAAAATTAAAGTCAAATATCAATCTCTCAATACAAATTATCCATATATAAAACATCATTCTAGAAAATTCAAGCAAATCACAAATTAACTATACAAATTGTTCAACACCAATCTAGAAAACTTTAAAAAATTGAAGCAAATCACAAATTTTCCATAAATAACATGTTTAATTGAAAGTTTCTTCCTTTCAATTAAGTTTCTTAACTCTCCACTCCATAACATCAACTTCATTCTACACAATTAAAAAGAAAAAATTAGACATGTCTCCACAAACATAAATAAGATTAGTTGT